TTATTGTCTGGTGAAGACTTTGACGAAGATTATTTTACACCATCTATGACTGCTCCTAAAGAAGAATTTGATGCACTGGACGATTCCTGTGGCGAAGATGATCGCGATAATTCGGAATCGAATGATGTTTCCGATATTCAAGATAGTCAATTGGAAAGCGATGACGATGTTGACAATGACGTGGATTTAAGTCAAGACGAAGATTTGATCCATGTCGCAAAGGAAATAGAAATACAATCCGAGCCAATGCTCGATGGCGGTGGTGATGTCTCGTATATTGATGTTGGCGATCAACCGTTGGACGAGGAGTGGGACACAAGCATGATATGGCTATCCGAAAATCAAGTGACCGTTCATGGAAACGCGGATTCATAGAATAACGGGTTTCGATAATTTAACATATAGTTAGTATAGATTAGATATCAAGCAATGGTGGGAAAGAATATCCAATCGTGTGGTTAACTTTAGAAGTTCTTTCTATGCGTGTGATAAAACATGGGCTCTGTTTCCACCAGAATGTCACGCGAAGCAAAATAAGTCTTATTATTGTTAAATATTTTGTTTAAATAATCGTCTTTTCTATTGTGTGAATCGAATTTATCATTATTTTACATGAAAATTTCTTTGTTTCTTTATAATTAGAATATTGGATATCTTGATTATGCCATTGAGAATAAACAGATCGTCAAATATGCGCCTAGCAACTTTAATATATTTTTAAGATGTCATAAATAGTTACTCTGTGATGCGTTCGCAACATTGATAGCAGAATAAAGTTGTGGTGTAACACATTTATTAATTTGCATGTCTCGTTGAAATGAATTATACGAGTCTCACCACTTGAATTATAAAATGGATTGATTTTAAGAATTATACTAACGATCCAAAATAATTATTGATATAAGACAATTGAAATAGTAAAAATAAGACTAAAATAATTGAAATTAATCTTTGATCAAAAAACAAAATACAATAAGATTATTATACTAGAGCTAAATATTTTTAAATAGCAAAATTATACATCAATAAATTTATAGATTTGTACATAATTTAACTACAGTATTTTATTACAAGAGAATAGATTTTATTAAGTTATTATTGCATAATATTAACTATCTAAAAATTTTCAAATTCTTATAACTTTCTCAATATAATTATGAAAAAAAAAAATGTTTTTTTTTTTTTTTTAGAAAAGTAGTATACAAAACTATTTTATATTTTAAATTATTATCAATCTATATTTTAAACTATTATTATAATATACTGTAAATCTATAATTTTTTTATCACAAATAAGTATTAAAAATGTGAGACTTTATATTAAATATAAGTTGCTTTCATTACATTAACAATCTTTGTAAAATATAAATTAATTATAGCTTATTGCAACTATACTAATACTATTAACTTATATTATAAGGATATATTCATATGACTAGTGCTAAATAGTTAATACCTATTTAGAATAATAAGATTGTTATGTAATTAAAAATTGATTTATCAGTAAAATTATTATTTATATTTGAAATATTAAAAACTTTTTGAAATGTGAAATAGAATTCTGAAAAATATTAAACAAGTATTAAAATGATATTGAAATAATATCATTCTATAATAAATTTAATATATGGATTGTAATTTATTTATATAAATTTATAATAAATTTAAATATTAGATTGATATTAAAATGATTTTAAAATAATATTATTAAAAGTTCTAGTATAAAACTTATATTAGTATTGTTTAAATATATACTTTTTCTGTTATCTTTGTTTTTTTATTTATTTTATACTTGAGAATAGTAATGTAAAGGTTGTTTTTAATTATTGTTTTTAGATTTTATAATAAATTTTTAAGACTTTGTTAAAAATATTCATTTTTTTTTAATTAAGTTAAAAGATAATTGAAAATTTCCTATATTAAGATTAAGCTTATTATAATAAGTATTATAAAAAAATTATTTGATATAGATTTTTATCAAAACAATTATTAATTAGTATATGTATTTTATATTTTTTCTTGTTAAAACTCCTAATGATATTATTACTGTCTTAAAAGAATAAAATAAAAAAAAAAATTAAAGCAAATATTAAAAAAATAAAAAAAATAAAAATTTACAATTTAATATATTGAAATTTTTAGTTTTTAGTTTTTTTTTTTTTAAGATAAATAGGCACTTAATGCCATAGTTTTTATTGAATTTTTTATATTCAAACCATACATTGCAGTCTTATACATACTAATATTACTACTAACTGTAAGTGAAACTTTCAGTTTCTTATCTAATAAACTTTAAAATTACTGATAAAATAATTTTCAATTTCCAATTATATAATTTATTTAATATATATTATATTTAAACAATATCAAATAAATTAAAATAAACAATTGTTTTAATTAAATTTTATAATTTTGCTTTAATATTAATATTAAAATAAAAATATTTATTTTTTTTTTTTAAAGTAAACATATATCAATATAAATCTTTATTGATACATAATATCTAGATATGACATCAAATATCTTCTATATATGAAATTATCAATTGAAATACATACTATGTCTTCTATATATAGAATTAATATTGCCTATTGACTATTTCTAGTAATAGCTTACCTATCCACCTTTATTAATTCAATTATGTCAATTTATACCTTATGAATAGGTCCACACTTTGGGTGGGACAAATTCAAGAGGTGAAAAATCCTGTCATCAGTTTAAACCTGTCTTCCTGCTAGATCCAGATTTGGCAATCTTATGGCTGCTCACAGTTTGAGAACTATAGAGTATTATTATAGAGACTGATTCCAGTTACCTTAATTACCTATTATTATTAGTCCTCGGGATGTACCACTAGCATAGTATAGTATAATCATTCTTATTATCTGTGGCTATGGTATCCTTGCTTGAATTTTTGATTATCCTTATTTTGAATCTTAATAGACTCACTTGGCTTAACAATTTTTATTTATCTTCTTATTATCTGTAGCTGATGGTCTTGCTTTGTGTGACCCATATTTTTAAGCTCGGAGAGCACTAGTATAGGATAGACCTCAAAGTATCAGATTGGGATAGACTGGTTTAGAATTTACTTCTTTTGTTCATACTGTGCTATGGAGTTTGCTATACTAGAGGGAATAAAGTTTTATAGGCTTTTATCAAAGTTAAATCAGAAGTCTTTTTCATGTAAACTTTCCTACTTTGATTTGTTTTCAGTTTATAATTATTAGAAAGACCAAAGGTCCCATCTTTATGCAGCTTAACTAAATTTGGTAATGATTTGGATATTTGGATATGATATTTGTAACAATCTGGTAAACCTACAAATGAAAGATAAATTTATGCATTTTGCTTCCTGTAGGTATTGAATTAGGGATATGCATTTGAAGACTATAAAGCACCATTCACTATGTTATGGATCCACTGATCTTAAAATAAAAATATTTATTTATAAGATAACAATTATAATTTTTTTAAAAATATCAAATAAAGTTTTTAACTATATATAAATATTTTAATATAATAAAAATTTTAAATATTTAAAATATTAATTAAAAAATTATAACATATAATTTAATTAATTTATAACTTTTTAAAATTTAAATCAAATCAAAATTTTTTTTAAATTATAATATAATTTAAAATCTTAATTTTATAATTAACAAAAAAAATTTATATATATTATTATCGATATATAACGAGTCCAAAACTAAGGCTCATATAGTGATAAGGATAGGGGTTAAGGATCGCTTGCTTAACCAAAGTTATATATTAATATCCTTTCTTATTTTATATTGCTGGGCTAATCCTCTATCACAATTTCTTTATGTGCTTCTTAGGATTCTCAATGGCCAATAACTCTTCAAAAGTAAATATATTAATTATTATATTAATTGATACAAATGGTATTTAATAAGCAATTATTTTTATAGCGAAACTCTTTCCGCTGATCCCCTTGCCAACCCAAAAAACAGACGTTCTCAAAAATATTTCTTTATTTTTGATAATAAAG